GTTATCCTTGTGGCAAGGAATTTATAATTATTCAGTTAAACCTGGTTTTTCAGTTAAGATTTCATCATAAAAAGATCTTCAGGACTCTAAATAAAATTCATATTTGTGGTATCAGGGGAAATTAAATTACTATTTGTGCTAAATCTGATCATAAACATCAATCTAAATATTTAGAATGTACCTGTGTTGAGTATCATATTTCACTCTTCACTTTGGTTTATCCCAGGTCAACCCTCTTTTTTTACTACTGGCTTTAATTTAACTGCCCATGCAATCATAAGCTCATATAATAAATGATATATGGCTAATAATTTTACCTTATATATATATCAATAGTCTAAGGAGTTATGTAAAAAAATGTTAAGGGTGGCTCAGTCTGACTGAGTGATTGGATTGTAAATAACTTATTTCAAAATATATTTCTGGACTCAACATGCTTTCAAAACGGGCAGCACGAAATACCCAAATACACCCAAATATACCCAAATATTGCCTAAATATACCCAAATATTGTCCAATTATACTAAAAATAAATGTTTTATACTAAAAAAAGTGCTGTTTTTATCATGAATACAATATACACTTTCACTAAGATATAATCAAACATACCCAAATATACATTTTCCTATCATTGTGTTTTGAACCAAGATACAGCACAGGTGCTTAAAATAAACTTTTTAAAGTTTTATATAAATGGGCTATATACTATAATAAGATATATTATATATCTTTTATATACATATATAGACCGTTTATGTAAAATATTTGATTATGTGACTAGCGCCTGTGAGATACAGTTGACTTCTATATGTACTCCATTAAAGCTATTTTTTAATATAATGGACATTCTTCTTCTATATGATATGAAATTTCAACAAAATTACACCTTAGAAATGTAAGTGTTAAGACAACAAATATCTTATCTTGAATTAAAATTGCATTCATAAAGAAGCGATATTGTAGATAAGCAAATGTCACAACTTTATATTTTCTTACAACATCTTAACTGCCCATTTCAACGGAATGAATAAAAGTTATAGCAGGCTAAGTCATATTATTTTATAAATATTTATTTATTTCTCAATATAATCTATATTTTATACAAACAAAAATAAATATTGCTATATTTGGGAATATTTGGGTGTATTTGGGTATTTCGTGCCGCCGTTCAAAACTCTGTAAGAAAACTGTCAAATGATGAATAATTATCTGGATTTGTTACCCAAAATCTGTGTGATTCTAGCACTTCATTTTTTCTAGGATTACAATAGCTTTCTATTTTGTCAAATAATTTTTTCACTTTCAGTTTATGTTCTGCATTTGCCCATGTAAATTGATAACTAAATAGGTCCAGCACACAGGCGCTAGTCACATATAATCAAATATTTTACATAATCGGTCTATATATATCTTTATATACATATATAGACCGATTATGTAAAATATTTGATTATGTTACTAGCGCCTGTGGTCCAGCATAGTGTAATAGGATATTTACTTGTATCTTTTCATCTTTCTCAGCATTTCCAATGGCAGTCAACACTGGTAAAGTAAATTTCCATTGGCGCTTCCATTTGATAAAGTTATGTGATATGTTACCATTTCAACATCTAAATGTCCAGGGGGTCTAAACATATCTGCCATGATTGTCAGTTCGAATAATACCGATAACGAAGGCTAAATTCGAATAATATTGAGTACAAATCCTTAGTTCGAATAATATTGAGTACGAATCTTCCCCTTCCCGAAAATGGCTTTTGGACGATATATTTCACTAAAGTGGCAGAAATACTTCACACTGCAGGTGTGAAACAAATAATTGCATACTCCTCTGATGCCACCACCTTGATAGGGTTCTATTATATGCAATTATATGACAATTCGTCAGAACGTTAACTTTAATCCATTCATACAGACGCTTACAATGTTACATAACACTAAATAAGACATATATATCTGTATATGCTCGTTTTCTAAAACAGTTTGAAATAGAAAAAGTATGCAAGTCTATATTTAAAAGTAAATAAGGTTTATTAAACAGATTTAATATTAATTTTGGGTGTTGGACATATTTTTATACAGAGTCTGTCGTAATTCATTCATTCTTGCACGCGCATGCGTCGATAGGAAGTTTGAAGCGTAGGTTTACACAATGCTTTTATGAATGAAATAGAAATTTTCATATTTTTTGCTTTCATGTTTAGAAAATGTTTATTTGAACTGAAAGTGCATAGTTTTGAACTTTCAAAGCTTATTGACCACTTTGCAAACAGTATATTAATAAAAAGTGATCTTAATGTGACAATCCTGCAAAATGAGGATCTACTTTTATCGAGGTTTCATCCAAAGGTGGATGTTGTTCAGCAAAACACGTTAGGTGTACTAAATCTGAAATACAGCTATAACTCTGTATACATTGCAAGCAATGTATACAAAAAAAGTAAATACAAAGGTTTCTGCAGAAAATATCTCTATTTAGTATGGCAGATGCAACAACCAGGGGCGTAACTAGGCGTACTCCTGTACGCCCGTGCGTACAAATCAATCCTGTATTCCGAAAACTCACATGCGCTAAAAGTTCTAAAAAAGTGATAAAAACAGAGGGGGTAGTGTGGTCGGGCAACATATATTCATATAGGCCTACTAAATTTATTAACATTATATAAAAAATTCATAACATATACAGTATTTAACAAATAATGCATGGCCTTGAGGGCAATATGCAAGTTTACAGACGGATTGGTCAGACTGAGGAAGGTATATGGCCCGAAGCGCAGCTGAGGGACATATACGTTCCGAATCTAAATCCTTTCATCCCTTTTGTTGCTGACATTTTTACTATAATTTACTTTCAAATAATAATTTATTTGTTCAGTGTGTGAAATATTTCAAACCCTAGTCGGAATAATTATTTTCAAGCAATACAGCAAAAAAAAATCATGCTCTTCTTTTGTTATTCAATTTTTGTTAATCAAATTAAGCAGGCAAAAATTGTTTTTCCAAAACCCTTTACCCTTTATTTCCCACATTGGCCCCTTTGTGTTCTCTATTGGTTTTGGTAGGGTGCTTTCTGGGTACCCTGTTTGTGTGGCTATATTGTGTAGGGAGGTTGCGTTCTGCCAACGTCGCCTTGTATGTTTGATTTATTTCTCATTTTTTAATGAGAAAACATGTAACAAATTCTCAAAGTTAGGAGATTTTAAAATATCTTTGCGTGTACTTTTTGATATATTAGCGGCGATGTCTATACGCCGTATAAGAGGGGAAAATAGCCAATTTTCTGCTATAATATACGGTTAACGCACGTTTTTCCGTGTTATAACGTCTGCAGAGTCCCGAGGAACGGTAGTAGTATTTGGATAAATACTGTTCAAGCACAAGGATTAAATGTATGTGTTTTGTACTTAATATATATCATGAATCTGTTTTAATATTTTATGCTATAATAGCGTCAACGTACATTTATTTGGTGTTATAAAGTCTTCAGAATCCCTCGGAACGGTTGGAGCCCTCGTCCTACAGGACTCTGGCACCAACCGTTCCTCAGACTCTGCAGACGTTATAACTCGGAAAAAAACGTGCGTGAACCCTATATTAAAAAAGTAATGAAACATTTAACAGGCCAAAACATTCACTGAACTTAGTCACAATTTCACAATATTATCATTCTTAATACAGTAAACTTCACTTATAGCGAACACGGTTATAGCGAACTTTCGGTTATAGGGAACAATTTATTTTGGCCCGAATTTTGCCCTTCTTTATTTAATATAAAAAATATGGTTATAGTGAACACGGTTATAAGGAATTATCGCTTATAAGGAACTCATTTCTTAGTCCCAATCTAGTTAAAAGTACAGGAAATTATACTTTTATAACGAACTCCAAAATATTGGCTTTTCGTTTTCATTGGCACGGATTAAAACTCGTTACAAGTATGAACTTCAATACATCTATTAAAATGAATTTGTATAGCTTTCTATTTAGGATATTTTTAGCATGAGCTCTTTTCACCAAGATAAAACGGTTATTTATTTATTTTCGTCAATAGTTTTGCTCGAGTAAAATAATTATAATAATTTATAATCGGTTTTCAACATAATCACGCTTCTTGCAATCTGCAATGTACGCTTGATTTAAATGAAAAGAAATCTTTATCTTCCATCAGTAAAAGTCACCCTTAAATTATAATAGAAGATATTCAAAATCTTGTTTATTCTCAATCATGGAAAGAAAACGAAAAGACAGCCGTAGACAACTTTGCATAACAACAAAACAGACGTCTAGTGTTTGTTTTTGTTTGTTTATTTATTCATTTATTTTTAGTTTAAAATTTATTGAATACGGGAGATTTTTTGCTAAAACATCATTTTGAAGGTCGCAAAATAACAAATTTGTGCTGCAAAATATCAATTATAAATATAAGAAAAGTTTTATGGTATATACAGTATACGTATTTTACATATTTTAAAATTTATAAAAAGAGTTTGAAATCATCACCAATATGTTGTCAATATAGCCTATAGATAGTCACGAAATGCCAGGATATCACTCCTTTTTTACAAAAATTTTCTCGGGGGAGCATGCCCCCCAACCCCCCAAGTTAAGGAGTACATAGCAAAATAGCTCAGTTACGCCCCTGACAACGACTGTTTTAATTCTACTGAAAAAACTTTTTGTTGGAAAATATGCCATAGAAAGTACAGGAACATTAATGATTTTCAAACACAATAAGTTTTATCACCATAAACGGTAAAATAATGGTATATAAAAATGGAAATATCACATAATAGGCCCGAAGGGATATGTACTTCATTAGGTTTAATTCCCCAGAGCTAAATCCGTAACGTACCTGAAAACGTGTTTAGCTAGGTTTCGGTAAAGTTCAATACACTCGAATTCTGAGACAAAAAAAATCAAACAAAAAGCAGCAATACAATACTTTACAGACAAATGTTATCAAAAGATAATAAAATAGGCAACAATTCTGTATTACAAACCTCCTTGCCAATATTTAAGACTAAAAACTCTTCTTTTCCCAAATCGTTACAAATGGTGCAAAATTTTCAAAGGGAGTCAATCACGTCTAACTAAATATGATTCATACATAATCGATTCGTACCGAAACCACAACAACGGCATCAACAGCGACTATAAAGTTATGGAAGCCAGGGTTGAGAGTGGTTTCGTCGAACTACCTGTAATATTATTCCGTGGGTGAACTTATCTTATATGTTACACATTAATTAATGAAGCCTTTAAATATGAAATCATTTTTCTTATTAATTTATTATGTCAAACTTATTATGTCAAACTATACTGTACTGTATATGCTAAAAAAGGAACAATATTATTAATCGGAATAAAATCGACATATATATACAAAGAAAAATAGAATATGTAAGGGAAAGAATTAACTTAAACTATGAATTTTATAATCTAAATATAGATATATATATATACAAAAACAAGACAGAGAAAAAAACATATAAAAATATTAATCCAAAAATACAAAATCAGAAAAAAAAGTACCATGATTTAGTACACGTAATAAAATAACTCATCTTTTTAAATACTTTATTCATCTCTATATAAAGAATTGACACATGCTTAATATTAAGATGATACACCACGAATTTTACGTAATAAACAACAACAACAATCTGTCTTTATTCTTTATTTATCACTCTATATAAAACTTAAAAATCGTCCTCATAGATCTCGTAGTAAAACTTTGAAGTTGTTAAATGTGACTACATAATTTCAGTAGGGCACAGGCTAAAACGCAGACGCTTATGCAGACACTATACAGTTTATAGTAAAACGCAGACAATATAGATATAGTGTGTTTTCTCAAACGCAGCATCTCAATTGAGACATAGCACAAAACCATTTCTGATATAATTAACTAACTCGTCAAAGAATCAAAATTGAGGAGAATTTGACAACGCAAGTCAACCGGCCAGGAGCGTGCAGTCATAATTATTGAAGAATTATTTTTAATTCAAACAATCGGCAGGGTAATACATGTATTTATATTATTATGTATTATGCTATTTTAGGTACTAAAACGAAATATCTTAATTGGCACGTTTTCTAAAATACAATAAATGGGCACCTCTGGTCTTCCTTCTTCACCTTCAAAGCTGAAAAATCACCGTAAGAACTAAAGTGCGACGTTTATACGTTTTACCTATCCGGAAAAAAACACAAACTAACCATGACCAACTTCACATAAAATAATTTACACACTTTAAACGGCACTTACAATCCACGTAAACAATACAAAACTAGGCCAAAATATGAAACATGGCCCTAGATCGCTCGCCTGACCCATCCAACTCATCCGAGCAATTACCAGGACAAGCATCATGACCAAGTTTCATGACATGTGAGTCAAAAATGTGACCACTAGAGTGTTAACATGGATATTCCATTTTTGAGCAGTGATGTGACCTAGTTTTTAAACCCAGCTGACCCATATTCAAACCTGACCTAGAAATCATCAAAACAAACTTTCAGACCAATTTCCAGACATATGGATCAAAACAGTAGCGACTAGAGTGTTTACAATATTTTTTTCTATTTTTAGCTCTTGTGACCTAGTTTTTCATCCGAGATGGCCCATATTCAAACTCATCTGAGCAATTACATTGACAAGCTTCCTGACCAAATTTGATGACAATTGAGTCAGAAATGTGACCACCAGGGTGTTTACATGGTATTCCAATAATTGGGGCGATGTGACCTAGTTTTGACCCCAGGTCACCCCCTAGAAATCATCAAAACAAACTTTTAGATCAATTTCCAGGATATTTGGATCAAAACAGTAGCAACTAGAGTGTTAAAAAGTTTTTTTTTCTATTTTTAGCTCCTGTGACCTAGCTTTTCATCCGAGATGACCCATGATCCACCTCATCTGAGCAATTACCTTGACAAGCATTCTGACAAAGTTTGATGATGATTGAGGCAAAAATGTGACCGCTAGAGTGTTAACGAACAAATGTGGACGGACGACAGACATTCAACGATCCTAAAAGGCTTGTCTAGGAAAATAATACAACAAAAGCAAGTACATGCGTATATCTTCTATTTTTACGAACACATTTTATTACACAAAGCATACATGTAGCTATATTTTACACAACCTTAAAATCTGAAACACAAGACTCACTATATTATTAATTCAGATTTTGTGTGTAAAGGTACATTACTTTTATGAGTGTGTTTTAATGTGTTTTATAAGGTTACCTTTGCCTACAAATGACCTATCACATGTATCACACTTAAAAGTCTTCTCACCAGTGTGAGGTGCCATATGTCTTTTTTAAGATCACTCCTATATGCAAATGAATTATGACATATTTCAGAATTAAAAATCTTCTTACCATTATTTTTTGTCATATGCTTTATAAGACTATATAAGACTATTTCTTTTTAAAGTAATAGTTACATAGTCACATATTTTACATTTGTAAGTCTCATTACCAGAGTGTACACTTTTGCCATGTGCTTTTAGTCTACTAAACTGAGAAAATGAAAAACCACTTATCACACTTATGATTCCTCTCACCAGTGTGTATAGTCATATGTAGTTCCATGCAAATGTAAGATCACAAATATTATATTTATAATTCTTTTCACCGCTGTGTTAAGTCCTATGTGTTTTTACTACAAATACCCGTAAATTATCGACTGGATTATCAATGGTATCAGTCGTGGAGTAATATAAGGAATAAAACAATAACTTGGGTTTCAGTTGGTTTTAAAGGTGGAAAAGTGAGGTGGTCTTATATGAAGATTATGTGACCATTACAATAAAGAACAGAAAATTCCGTTCTTTTAAAAATTGGTCTAAATAGAGGGGTGGTCTTAACAAGAGCTGTCACAGGAGACATCAAAGCTCCACTAATTAAATTACTGGACGCAGTAAGGAAGACAAAATTATGAAAGAAAAATAAATTATGATATAAATATATTTCTTTTTACAATGTATGATAAGTTATTGTTGTTGACATAATTTCATAGTTCAAGTGGGAAAAATTCTGGAAATAGTCACACTAGAGTTCTTGTGGACCTTGTCACCTTGTGTAATGATAAGAAATATATATTTGAAGTTTGAAGTAGATACCTTAAAAAGTAAAGAAGTTATATTTATTAAAGAAATTTCTGAGTTCAAAGGGAGACAAATCTGAAAATATTGCTTCAAGAGTTATGAACATTGTCACATAAGACCTTGTTGATGATAAGGAATATGCATTTGAAGTTTGAGGTAGATTCTTTTAAATTAAAGAGGTTAGAGTAAAAAATAACATTTTTCAAGAAAAAAAAATCTAAGTTAACATGAAGGTAATTCTTGCAATATTGGTACTAGAGTTATGAACCTTCTCACATACGATGTTGTTGATGATAAGGAACATATATTTGAAGTATTAAGTTAATCCCTTGAGCCGCGTCACGATAAAACCAAGATAGTGGGTTTTCGACCAGCATCCGCGCAGTCTGATCAGGATCCATGCTGTTCGCTATCAGTTTCTCTACCTGTTATAGGGTTTGTAAGCTAACAGCATAGATCCTGATCAGACTGCGCGGATGCGCAGGCTGGTCTGGATCCATGCTGGTCGCAAACCCATTACGTTGGTTTTGTCGTGACACAGCTCATATATTTGAAGTTTGAAGTTGATACCTTCATGCAGAAATGAAAAAGTTATAGTTAAAAAAATATTTTACTGCACCAAAACTTTAGGCTGAAATCTAGACGTAGACACGGACGCAACGCGCCTTTTAATTATGAATGAATTGCGTTCTTAGCTAGGATGACGTCATTTTACCTTTATGAATATCTAGCTCTCGGGTAACTGTTTAGCGGGAAAATCGGCAGTCTCGTTACCGCTGTAAACAGTCACCCTCGAGCTAGATTAATAATATCTGTCATATGTTGCGGTTCGGACCGGAATATCCGTCCCGAGGGGACCCGCCCATTGGGCGGTAACAAGGCTTGCCGAGTTACCGCCCATGGGCGGGTTCCCCAGGGACGGATATTCCGATCCTAACCGCAAACATATGAAAGATATATTTTCTTGCATATTCTGCCATATTATTTCATATTTAAAATGGTTTACCTCAATACGATATATGTTTCATCCATAACTACTTTCTTACAAAACCGTATGAACTTACAACTTAAATAACAACGGCGAAATGACGTCATCCTAAGACATATTTCCCTTCTAAAACGACGTTATTTTAACGCGGTTCATTCATAAATGGCGCTTAAATGACGTTGTTGTTTGGCACGAGACTCATCTGGCATCCCCTATGCCAGATGAAATTTCCGGCATGGGTAAAACTCACGGAAACGCCAGTCTGCTATGCAAGAATAATAATATCTGTCATATGTTGCGGTTTGGACCGGAATATCCGTCCCGAGGGGACCCACCCATTGGGCGGTAACGAGGCTTGCCGAGTTACCGCCCATGGGCGGGTTCCCGAGGGACGGATATTCCGATCCAAACCGCAAACATATGTTAGATATTTTTTCTTGCATATTCTGCCATATTATTCCATATTTAAAATGGTTTACCTCAATATGATATATGTTCATGGAAATTAAAGTAATTTCACCCATAACTATTTTCTTACAATAGCGTATGAACTTACAACTTAAATAACAACGGCGAAATGACGTCATCCTAAGCACATATTTCTCTTCTAAAAGGACGTCATTTTAACGCGGTTCATTCATAAAGTGCGCTAAAATGACGTTGTTGTTTGGCACGCGACTCATCTGGCACCCCCTATGCCAGATGAAATTTCCGGCATGGGTAAAACTCACGGAAACGCCAGTCTGCTATGCAAGAAATTCCGGTCTGTACCGGCAGCCGGTGTAAAATTCATATAGGATTCTACTGTAGAAGGAATAAATACTATCTTATAATAAATAAAATATTATTATCAGAAAAAAAAATAAACTTTTATGTGTAAAGTTTACAGTTTTTTGCGGAATGTTCAAGGGTTATATCATGGGTATGGATACTAATATATGTTGTTTACAGAATAAACTTTATGTGTAAATAAACAAACATAATTATACAACTTATATATTCAATTCACTGTTTATTTGGCTTAAACAAATTAACATATATACAATGTTCACCCCCAATACATGTAGTATTAGGGCAGTATAAGACAAAACAATACATTTTTAGAACATGAGAAAAGCATTATAATAACAACTAGAACTCTAATCGCTGAATGCGATTCATACCCCCACCAATGTCTTTGACAGAAGACGACTTGGAAGGGTGATTAAGGAAATAACTTTAGTGGCACAAATACATATACATAAAATTAAATTATGTCTGGTGAAAAAAAGACTAATTGTACAAGTAATAGTATTTAAATACATATATTGACAAATCATGTTCGAAACAGTTACAAACTAGAACTATCACTAAATGTGATTAATACCCCCACAAGACTGCTTCGGAAATGAGGATGTTACTAGTAACAGAATACCTTGTAAAAGAATTGAAATATAGAGTTATGGTTGTGGGCAATTAAAGATAGTTGTGGTTCTTGTATATTGCATTTCCTTTCAATGTGGTTGACCATTGAAGAAGTTTTATTGAATTACTCTGTAATAAGTCCAGAAATACAAAGAAAAGGAACAAAGGGCAATAACTCTATAAATACTGAAGATGGAGTTATAGTTCTTGTGCACTGCACTTCCTCCCTCTTTTTGTGCTTGACCATTGTATGAAGTTGTTTTGAATTTCAACCAGTACGTTTTAAGTTATGCTCCAGACAAGGAAAAGTATCAAAGGGCATAAACTCTGTATTTTGTCAAAATGGAGCTCTTGTGCACTGCACTTCCTTATAATGTCCTTGACAACTGTATGAAGTTGTATTGAATTCCAAACAGTAGTTTTCAAGTTATGCTCTGGACAAGGAAAAGTAACAAAGGGCAGTAACTCTGTAATTTGTCAAGATGGAGTTATGGTTCTTGTGCACTGCACTTTCTCTCAATGTGCTTGACCATTGTATGAAGTTATATTGAATTCCAACCATTAGTCTTCAAGTTATGCTCCGGACAAAAAAAAGCAATGGAAAAGTAACAAAGGGCAGTAACTCTGTAATTAGTCAAGATGGAGTTATGGTTCTTGTGCACTGCACTTCCTCTCAATGTGCTTGACCATTGTATGAAGTTATAATGAATTCCAACAATTAGTCTTCAAGTTGTATGTAGTTATATTGAATTCCAACCATTAGTCTTCAAGTTATGGTCCGGACAAAAGAGAGCAATGGAAAAGTAACAAAGGGCAATAACTCTGTAATTACTTTAGATAGAGTTATGGTTCTTGTGCACTGCACTTTCCCTTATTGTGTTTGACAATTGTATGAAGTTGTTTTGAATTCCAACCAGTAGTGTTCAAGTTATGCCCCGGACAAGGAAAAGTAACAAAGGGCAATAACTCTGTAATTAGTCAAGATAGAGTTATGGTTCTTTTGCACTGCACTTCCTCTCAATGTGCTTGACCATTGTATGTAGTTATATTGAATTCCAACCATTAGTCTTCAAGTTCTGGTCCGGACAAAAGAAAGCAATGGAAAAGTAACAAAGGGCAATAACTCTGTAATTACTTTAGATAGAGTTATGGTTCTTGTGCACTGCACTTCCCCTTATTGTGTTTGACAATTGTATGAAGTTGTTTTGAATTCCAACCAGTAGTGTTCAAGTCATGCCCCGGACAAGGAAAAGTAACAAAGGGCAATAACTCTGTAATTAGTCAAGATAGAGTTATGGTTCTTGTGCACTGCACTTCCTCTCAATGTGCTTGACCATTGTATGTAGTTATATTGAATTCCAACCATTAGTCTTCAAGTTATGGTCCGGACAAGGAAAATGCAACGGACGTCTGGACCGACCGACCGACCGACCGACCGCCCGACCGACCGACCAACCGACCACCGGGTGACTCCTATATACCCCCCCAAACTTCGTTTTTGGGGGTATAATAACCTTCATTTTTCCAATGTACTTAATATTTTCTAAGTCAATTTTTGACCTTCAAGTGTGGCCTTGACCTTAAGCTGGCACAATGGTAAGATGGGTTCTGCACATTGCCCAGTTGGGGTGAACATTTAAGTAAAGTTTGAAGAAAATCATTCCATATGCATAGAATTTAAAGAGCGGACACGACACATTGTCTAGTATTGATTGTATGTAAATTTAAAGACTTAAAGGGGAAATAACTTTGTCAAAATGCAATACAGAGTTATGAAACTTGACCTGCATATCTTATTTGTGACACATCATATATCTTTTAAGTTTCAAGCAAGTACGTGTGCTAGTTTCAGATATATCCAGGTACATGTTAAAATTTAAGAAAATTTTTTGAGTCAATTTTTGACCCTGGACAAAGCTAATCTATTATAGCCCCCCCCCCCCCCCCCTTTTGTGGTGGGGGTAAAATTACATATTTTGGACACAAGTAAAACCATGATAATAACAATTACATATTTTGGACACAAGTAAAACCATGATAATAACAATTACATACTTTGGACACAAGTAAAACTATGATAATAACAATTACATATTTAGGACCCCAGTATAACCATGATAATGAATATTACATATTTTGGAAACAATTAAACCATGGACATGTGTAAACCATGATAATTACAATTAAAGATACATACTGTCTATGGTTTACATATGGAAAGATGTGGAAAAAGGTAGATGTATATTTACTGTCTTTGGTACACAAATGGAAAGATAAGGAAAAGCTCTGTTTAAAAAAGACATTTATGCAATGTCTTTTTTAAACAGAGCTTTTCCTCATCTTTCCAAATATGTTTAACAAAAGACTTTTGACATGCTATTTCAATTAAAAAATATTTTTATCAACAATATGTAAGCTTTTTTATTATTTGTTTCACAATGATATTACATAAAATATTTGTGACATAATAACAGAGGTTAAAAATGCATACATAGTATAAAAATTAATATTTACAATTGTACGCAACAAATATGGCAAATCTTCAAATTTAATGCTAAACAGAAGAATGTAGTATTCAAATTCAACAGTTTTTAGTACCGTAAATAATTTGCGTAACCTGTGTTATTTTCTTTCCTTTCTTTCTGCCTTTCTGCTTTTTGCTGTGTCATTTTCCGGTCTCAGCAGTATACCATAGTAAATAGCATTGCATACGATATGCATGATAGATATAGTGCTTTAATGGTTTGAATGCACTTAAAATTATTCACTTAAATGTGCATCTAAACGTGGGATTTAAGATCTCTTTTCGTAAAAAATGATTTATCACATGTATCGAATTTATAAAATTTCCCACTTGTGTGCGTTCTCTGGCATGTTTGCTTCTCACACGTATTTGATCACTCGAATTAGCAATATTTGCATTTTTATGTAATTTTGTTAGTATGGTCTATGGATCTTAATATGCCTATGTCGGCTGCCACGATCCTTAAAGGATAAATTGATTATTCTTTGAAGGTGTGTATTGTCATGCGTCTATTAAGTCTTCGCACTGCTCTCAGAAAATGACACATGACATATTTCATTCATTATTCTTCTCTCCAATGTAAATGAATGATTTAATATTGCACATTTACAATTCATTTTACCAGTGTGTATTGTCATCTGTCTATTTACATCCTGACTGAACAAAGACATAGTTCACATATGATTCTTCTCACCAGTGTGTTTTATCATGTGTTGTTTGAGATTACTGATCTGAGAAAATAAACTATGACATATTTCACATTTATGATTCTTCTCACCAGTGTGTATTGTCATATGTTGTTTAACGGTACTGGCATGAGAAAATGAACGATGACATATTTCACATTTATGATTCTTCTCACCAGTGTGTCTTATCATGTGTTGTTTAAGATTACTGCTAATAGAAAATGCACGATGACATATTTCACATTTATAATTCTTCTCACCAGTGTGTATTGTCATATGTCTTTTAAGATTACTGCTATGAGAAAATGAACGACGACATATTTCACATTTATGATTTTTCTCACCAGTGTGTTTTGTCATATGTTGTGTAAGACTTTTGCTCTGAGAAAATGACCTTTGACATACTCCACATATATGATTCTTCTCACCAGTGTGTCTTGTTATATGTTGTTTAAGATTACTGCTGTAAAAAAATGAATGATGACATATTTCACATTTATGATTCTTCTCACCAGTGTGTATTGTCATATGTTGCTTAAGATTACTGCTTGTAGAAAATGAATGATGACATATTTGACATTCATGATTCTTCTCACCGGTGTGTTTTGTCATATGTCTTTTGAGATCACAATCATGTGAAAATGAACTATGACATATTTCACATTTATGGTCCTTCTCACCAGTGTGTATTGTCATATGTGTTTTAAGACTACTGCTCTGAGAAAATGAACGATGACATATTTCACATTTAAGATTCTTCTCGCCAGTGTGTATTGTCATGTGTCTTTTTAGCTTACTGTTGTTAGAAAATGAACTATGACAGATTTCACATTTATGATTCTTCTCACCAGTGTGTTTTGTCATATGTTCTTTAAGACCATTGCTCTGAGAAAATGAACTATGACAGATTGTACATTTATGATTCTTCTCACCAGTGTGTATTGTCATATGTTGGTTAAGATTACTTCTATAAGAAAATGAACGATGACATATTTCACATTTATGATTCTTCTCACCAGTGTGTACTATCATATGTGTTTTAAGATTACCTCTCTGAGAAAATGAACGATGACATATTTCACATTTATGATTCTTCTCACCAGTGTGTACTGTCATATGTTGTTTAAGATAACTGCTCTTAGAAAATGAACTATAACATATTTCACATTTATGATTCTTCTCACCAGTGTGTATTGTCATATGTTGTTTAAGACTACTACTAGATGAAAAAAACCGATCACATATTTTACATCTGAAACTTTCCTTACTAGTAGACATTGTTATATATACTTGAAGATTGAATCTACAAGTAAATGATTTAAAACACACTGTATTGACAGATGTATTTTGAGGTTTCTTATTTTCTACAATGATTGATAAAATAATTCTTTTTAACTGGATATTCAGCCACGTGTTTCTTCAGGTCGCATTTTCGAATACAAGAATATTCACAAACAAAACTTTAACTCACTCGTTTGTAAAGATGACGTTTCAATGCACTAAGAAAATTCAGTAAGGAAATTAATGATCACATGGTCCAAAGCACTGGTTTTCTTTCAAGAGTGGTTTTCGCACATGCGTCTACAAATCACAACATATTTCTTCACACACACACACATATTGTATCTGTACCTCTGCTCAACAGTGTTTTTGTTGTTGTTGCTTTCTACTGGTACCACTTGATTGTTACTATATTAGATAAAAAGAAAGAAACAAGCAACTGTTAGTAAACATTTGTAAAAAATTATTTATTTAGTGGAAATTTTGTTAATCCGTTCAATACCTTATAAAACTGCAATTAATAAATTTCATAAAACAGAAATAGCGACATTTTATTAAAGTGACATTATGCTCATTTTTTTCAATGTAAAGTTGAGCTTAATTGACTATAAATTACAAAGATTGACAATAATGATGATTGACCAACAGTCAGTTGATATAAGAAAAAAAGTTGGGGATAAAATATATATTTGCCTAAAATATATAAAAACTGCCCCACACTTTTTATCAAAATTGAACGTTACATGTTATTTCCGATGGATATTTACAAAAACTTTCTGAGCTATATGAGTTTTTTTATTGTTTCATGCGGAATAAATTGAAAACTGAAAGGATTTATGGCAAAAATGTAAAGTTATTTCGATTTTCACCTGTTTATTCACTATATACCCTTGGATGGGCATAATGCCACTTTAATAAATTGGTTTTCATATCGACTCTAGATCTTATTTTGGTGTCAAGACAACCAAAGCATAAAAACCGCAGGGTTCTCGGGGACGCTTATTTCGGCGTCCCGGTACGCATGTTTATTGCAGCTGGACGCAAACATTTCAGAGCAAGGATTCCACGTACGCTTAATTTTGCCCGGGGACGCATAAACATTACCGATTGTTTACAACCACAAAATTTAATACACAAATGCGTCAGCGCGTGTCAGTCTATAAGGTAGGCGGTCCTATGCACATCGACCCGTGAAGCAATTAGCCAATCAATTTAAACCTGAAACCTCATTGTGGCTAAATCGGAATTTCTGTTTGCATGAGAAACACATTCTGATCATCCATACATCAACAGAGCAACAGATAAGGTGCGTATTTGCGTATTTACGCAATTAATTTTATAAAATACGCAATTGATTTTTTAAGAATGCGTATCAAAACCCATTAAAAAAATTAAAATAAGCAATTGTCTTAAAAACCCGTGCGTATTGTCATTTTCATCACCACAAAATTAATCCGTCATACACTCGTTGTTTTGGGACAAAGTTATATCGATATGCATGATTATCCCGAATATTCCCGAACATCAATGCCAACTAATCAACGGTCTCCGGTCTTCGACGGTCCCCCGGTCTCCAAAGACGACTAAGCATGAGACGTCGATTTGTCTACTCAGGTTGACGTCTTTACAGACCGCAGAGACCGTCGATTTTGCGGAGACTGTCAATAAGTAGTCCCAGCTATATCAATAGACGCTTTGAAAAAGCGAATATGGCGTCGTACAAAAAGAAAACTGATTTGAAACAAAAACAGTCCGCAAATAATCAAAAATCAGTCAGAAAAACGAACTTGTTAAAAAATATTATGGAAATAACATAAGCATTTTATATAAAAATAAAAACAATTGTGAAAAAGTTCTAGTAAATTGCTTCTTTTTAAAAACAGTTAGGGATATCTAAATTTAATTTTATTGGGTATTGAAACCATAAAATCATATCTTCATAATATGAATACCCAATAGATCTTGAAATCGAAGGGTATCGAAGTTTTTGAATACCCAATTAAATGGAGCCAATACCCAATTCCAAAGGAAATGATGGAGTAATACCCAATTCACTTTTAAAGCTTATCTGTTGTTCTGCTTGTATTGTTTTGAAGTGACAGGTGGTGGCTTATAAATGTACTATACCATGTTGTATTCTAGTTAAAGTATTGAATATATATTGAATTGATCTTTGTATGCGATTAACATTGTGTAGGTAGAATAAATTACATACTGTAATGTTATGTTTTATATAATTTTAGATGTTTTTTATTATCAAATGTGGTTAACAAAGCTATAGTATATGAAATTATTCATATAATTTACCAAAGAAAACTTAAGATTTTTACAAGAATGCGGATACCATCATAAAATATCAAAACAAAAACTTTTGCAATTAGTTCTAGGTTAGCTTGATTTTCGGGCTAATTTGACTGGACTAACTGTAGAACTTCAAAAATTATTGATTTATCTTTTATCTGGTTATCTTTTTATAAACCCTCATAAATAAGAGAAATAAGAAGTATTCTCTGCTTGTATATAGCTTGACTTCAAATGATATAGCATAAAGTTGTTGAAACTCCTTTACAAACAATCCTGCACTGAGTTAATTCCTTTCGAAAAGGAGCAGTGCCTCTAGACGCTTGCAGAAATCATGATCACAAAATAGACAAATATCGTTTTTTCGCCGATTTTTACATTTTCATTCATTATCATACATAAATCGATGTGAAAAGATGAATTAGACCTATTAAAGTTCATTCCGTTGGGTAAAAAGGCAAGATTTTAGCATATTATGATTCAAGCGCCTTGCCCGGTTTATACCGGAACACGGTATTTAGTGTGGCGCTCCAAACCATTTTTTAGTCTCACTCTCGAAAAGGTCAATACGATCGAATTTTAAAACCTAAAATTATATTATATCAAACAAATTGGTTCTAAAACCAGCAATACAATACTTCTCAGACAAATGTCATCAAAAGACAATAAAATAGATAACAATTCTGCATTACAAACCTCTTTACCAATATTTGAGACTAAAAAACCCTTCTTTCCCAAAAACGGTGAACAATCGTTACAAATGGTGCAAATTTTTCAAAGGGAGAGAATTATAAACCGTTTGGATGGATTTTCGGAAAATAAACTATTTTCGCGAAAATAAGATCGCGGCTACGGAAATAAGATTTATTTTTGAAATAGTGCATTTATCTGTTGAAATAATTATGTAAGTTATATATTTATGCATTCATTGAATGAATTTACAGCCGATTAAAATTTCGGAACCAAAAATAAAAATTTTAAAAAGTGAAGTTTGAGCCGAAAATACGTGATCGTACGAAAAAAGCTTAGAGCGAAAATATGATCCACAGACACTTGGGGTTTGGAGCTCAAAACGCCTTTAAAATCCACATAAAATGCATATTTGTCAATCCCAGCACATGTTCTGATCATATATATAAAAAAAACTTAATATAAGCCGTTTTGAAAAAAAATCATGTTTCAACATCTATAATAATCACAGATATACATACACTATTCTATTCAACTCCGTGTAATAATACAGTACAAGATAAAAATGTTCGCCGGAAAAAATTCGCACCCCTACCGTCATAATCACCATGTATTTTATTCCATTTCTAATATTTTCACATAATCCTTTGGTCCATCGACACAGAAGATATAATTCTTCACGATGATGGTCAATTTTAAACTTCAACGGTAACAAGTAGAGATTTTGATGCTAAAGCATCAAGTCGCCGGATAGAAAAATGATTGTATTATCATAAATATAAGAAAATATAAGTTTAATGGTTGAAGTATAAAAATAAGAGGAACAATGAGTTGAGTAATGTTTGCCACTGAGGCTTGTAAGGCAAGTGCTATGCTGGTAATTCTTCTTGTAATTTTTTACTTTTATACATATACTGTTGTACCCATACATTGAAAATCCGTATAGGTTACTAGTTCAGATTCAGATAATTACTCGACAAATAAATTACCGATCAATCGAATATTTGCAAAGTGACGACGAAAAATATATATGTTTAATTTATTACATGAAACAATACAATTTTATTGTAAAAGTGTTGTACATCATTATTATGTGCTATAAAAAAAATATATAATTTAGTTGAAATCAATACACGTATTCCAAAATCGTTACATACGGATAGTATAAAATTAACGTTTAAAATTGCCTTTCAGTGCGATAAAACTATCAACACAAAGATAGTTTATTATTTTTTTTCTGTGTATCTAATACGATTCCGGAACCCTGACGTCATACCGTTTTGGAAAACCTGCCGTGACGGAAACCGACGGAATATACCGAAATCAACGATTACCAATTATATATTTCAATAATGTGCCTCTTAAGCATAACATTATTTTGGGATGTTCAACCTAAAACTAAAACAATTGAACTTTCTTGTCGAATGTTTTGACAGAAAGGGCAAGTTAAAACCCTTTAACCAAAGAAGAAAGGAAAAGGTTTGAATATGTATTTTTAATGTAAACAGGTTTCTGCTAAAATGATATAAAGTATGAACCTGATTAATGGAAAATAACTTATGTAATTATCTGTACAAAATTACAATGATATTACATCTTATCAGTTACCACCCATTAACAAGTTACCTGTCTATCAGCAAACTCTGTAACTATTAATAGATTTTTATAACGATATACAACAAATATAAACATGTAGTCACGTGATTCTTACGAAAGACCAGGAGCATTTGTTTATAATAGATAAAATAAATGTAATATTAAAGGTCTCATAAAAAATAAACACCAAATAATTCTAAAGTGTCATTTCAAATATCAATTCATGATTTTATATATTATAAAATAGCAATGCTTGACACACACAGAAAAAAGTAAAAGTATCTCTAATAATTCAATGACTGATCCTTGGGGATACGTTATTGATTCATTTTATGAAAATTGTAATGTTGCTTTTTAAGAACGTCAATGGTGCATATTTTCATTCCACTGAGCAAGTTATCATATGGTTTTGGATTTTTTGTGATAACTGAAAAAATAATTGGTTTTTGTTTTACTGTTCAATGTTTGATATGCTTTTATTTTCAGATTTTAAGGGCTTCTCCTACCATAGGTATAATATTAAACTATTACAAATATAGTCGCCGGTTTCTACCGGCGACTAATAAAAACAATGCAACAGCCGAAATTAACATCAAGATTATCGCCGTTTTCCTCCAATTACAAAATCTTTCGATAAATTCAATGGACCAAACGGCTATGAACGAAGCTATCCGATTATGTGGTTCCCAAACTTAAAAGCGCTGCGCATTTTGCACACGGCAAAGCTGGGGCCACATAATCGGATAGCTTCGTTTCATAGCCGTCTGGTCGCATTAAATTTATCGAAAGACTTTTAATGGAGGAAAATCAGTAGGCCTTCATTAATAACAGCCAAGTTGTTAATATTACAAAAAGACCTTCAAATGTGTATACCAAAAGCATTTTTAGTTTAATATAAAAATATCAACCAAAGGCAATTTGAGATGTTTTGAAGTTATTGGTCAGAAACCATCATTAAGTACAAGGTCAATATGACATTGACCCCTTGACCCAAAATCAATAGGGGTCATCTACTGGTCATGACCATTCATCATACCAAGTTTGAAGTTCCCTAAGGCCTAAAGGGTTCTTTAGTTATTAATCAGAACCGTTTTTACCTACAAGGTCAAAGTGACCTTGACCTTTGGCCCCTTGACCCCAAAAAATAGGGGTCATCTGCTGGTCATGACCAATCACCATAAAAGTTTTGAAGTATCAAACTAAGCGTTCTTAGTTATTGATCGAACCCGTTTTCACCTACATGGTCATATGAAACCTTGACCTTTGACCCCAAAAACAATAGGGGTCATCTTGCTGGTCATGGCCATCACCATACCCAAAGTTTAAAGTTCCTAGGCCAAAGCTTTCTTTAGTTATTGATCGGAAACCGTTTTTACCTACAAGGTCAATGTGACATTGACCTTTGACCATAAAAATCAATTGGGGTCCATCTGCTGGGTCATGACCAATTACCATACCAGTTTGACGTTCCTTAGCCTAAGCATTCTTTGGTTATTGGATCGGAAACCGTTTTTAATTAAAAGGTCAATGTGGCCTTGTCCTTTGACCCCTTGACCCAAAATCAATAGGGGGTCATCTGCTTGTCATGACCAATCACCATAACAAGTTTGAAGTTCCTAGACTTAAGAGTTTTTTAGTTATTGATTGGAAACCGTTATAACCTACAAGGTCTATGTGACCTTGTCCATTGACTCCTTGACCCCAAAATCAATGGGGGTCATCTGCTGGTCATGACTAATCACCATACCAAGTTTGAAGTTCCTAGGCCTAAGCATTCTTTAGTTATTGATCGGAAACCGTTTTTTACCCTACAAGGTCAATGTGACCTTGACCTTTGACCCCTGACCCCAAAATCAAATAGGAAGTCATCTGCTGGTCATGACCAATCACCATACCAAGTTTGAAGTTCCTAGGCATTACCTCCCTTGGCAGAATTGTAAGAGTCATTTTTCATTGACTCGCCTATAGTATAACGCTAACATTATAGCGGCGTCTTTACACTATGTTTGTATAACGCTAATGACGGCACGTCAAAATATATGCACGGCCGTGCAATACCATTTTTACGGAGTCGCAAAATCGGCACGGGTGTGTGATAAATAATATTTATTTCATGCTTACCAGTGTTTTATTGTAATAATATCAGGTGATTAATATAGAGGATTATTTGTTTAGTTCAGTGTAAGCTCGGAATATATTTCACCGAGTGAGCACCAAAAGGTATATCTCACGAGTGGCGCAGCCACGAGTGAAATATGGACTTTTGGTGTTCATCAAGGTGAAATATATTTCGATCTTACACTAAACTAAACAAATTTTCTTTTTATTATATGCAAAGAAACGTTTTAAAAAGACATTAAACCAAATACTGAATGAAAAGCGCGCCAAAAAATAATACGACGTGACGTCATTTACGACGTCACGTCATTAAGTTGGTACCCAGAAACTGTGAACGCTGGTATTTCACTGTAACCACGTAAGGGGCTTAATTAAATTCAAAACAGTGAAATTATCAAAGTGGTAATTTCACTGTTTCAAACAGTGAAATTACCAGTTTTATTTCACCGATATATTTCTATAAACCACCGAAAGCATGTAATAAATTTCTGATAAACCACTAGTGAAATTTTATAAAATATAATTTTTTTTACTGTAGCCGGACTATATCTGAATGCGGATGAAAAGAAAATCATAACTAAATGGAATAACAGGCAGAAATAAATGCCGTCATACGTAAAATTTTGCTTCTTAGGAAAAAGAAAGTCGATGTCACCATAAAATCATGGTTAAAATGTAACAAAATAAGAGAAATCTAACAGAACTATATTTCAAAATTGATGATGTGACGTCATGATGTAATGACGTCACAAAGGAGAATGCGCGACGTTAACGCGACAAAATCAGTAAAAAATAATACTTAAAATCACTTAAAAAAGCATGAAATAAAAAGAAAATTTATTTGTTTTACATATAAGATTGAAATATATTTCATTCGTGAACACCAGCTATTATATTTTCACTCGTGGCTACGCCACTCGTGAAAATATTGCATCTGCACCCAATTGTATAAACGTTGGTTAACTTTAACCACTGGGTTTAATCCATGGTTAGGTTAACTTTTGGGTTAAACTTTGGTTAACCGATTGTATAAAATTTTGGTTAAATTTAACCAGCGTAAATTTCTGGTTAAATTAACCCATGTATAGGAGGTGGGTTAAATTTTAACCAAACATTAACGCAGAAATAAAATGGCTGCCGTTTGTACGCTTCGTCTCCACTTTTGTTCATTTTTGCTTCGAAATAGACTATTTATCGGTTGTATATGAATGGCAACGATATTTTTTATAAGTTGCGTAGTGAACGGGAAACGGAAACAAACTTTTCCAGAGCCGGAAATAAACAGTTTAATAAATCAGCTGTCAGTGTCGGATAATTCCGGATAAATCATGATACAAAATATCATTTTAAACCGATTAAATGAAGAATCATACTGAGGATAGACTTTGAAGGACAATTTTT